CAGTAGACCGCCAATCGTATAGCCGCCGCGGCCGGATGCGACACCGCCGAGCGCGAGCGTAGTACAGCAGTATACGTGTCACCAATGGAGGAAAAACGAACAAGTTGGACAAGTTTCAGTTTTTACACACCCAAGATGAGGGTGTCGAGAAAAAACGAAAGTCTCCCCAGAGGTGCGAGAAACGAAAACAATCTATGGTCATATGCGTACACAAACTCGCGCTCAAACGTTGGACCTGCAGGAAAAGACCATGCATGATTTTTCATAGCTCGTATCAGAAGATGTTCATATCACGGAAAAAACTGTCCGCACGCACAGCAGTACCTATCGCGCGGCATGGCGCCTTTGCGGCGTAGGGGCTATAAGACGCGAGGGGCACACACAAGGCATCGTGTGCGGTGCATACCTTCGGCTGATCGCGAGAGGGGCAGACCGTGAGATCCTTCCCCCCGCGCCAAACATGCGGATCTATTTATACCAGTTCACCCTATGTATAGTTCTGCAGTTCTCTTCTTGAACTTCTTGTGTAAGGAACACGTTTTTGGGTATTAAGGGTACTTTTGTGTGTTTCAGGGAGGCTCTTCTCTTGACCGAAACGCCCTCTACCTGCAAAACTTTGTCGAAGCGGGCCTTGGATTCGGGGATGCCAGCGATGTCGTCAAGGCTCTCAGCAACGTCCTCCCCGTCCGCGGTGCTACTTGGGGCGGAGGCCTTCTGGCCTTTGCCGCCCTTGTTCCCTGTTGGTGTGTGTGTGCATGTGGTTGAAGTGCGCCGGCGGTGGTGTGATTGAGCATACATTGCGCAGAAACTACGGCCACGTGCAGCTCTGTCATTGGTGCATCTCATGCCCGCCGGTATCGAAGCTCGGCCAGAGAAACAGGAAATGTTACGGTGGTGCATGACGCGAATTAGTGCTTGACGAGAGACGGGATTTGCTCTTGAGTCTTAATATGTCCTTTTCATATACAGTCAGTAATAGATTTGTTGTCTAAATCATCGCCTTCTGCTGCTCGGGGAATCGCAGAAACACAGGTACATTGTGTCCGATAACGCTAATTTATTCAGTTATCTCGGACTCTTGTCTTTGGATGTATGCTAGAAACCACGTCGTTGTGTTTTTGCAAGACAAAAAACAAACGAATGCGTACAACTCGGAAGGTTTAAGTACTTTTTTTTGTCTCGGCAATCCGCTTGTTCCCCTTCGACGAGGAATCGAGAGGAGGTACTAGACGGACAGCAGTCAGAGCAGTTCTCATATGACAAGAGCGCCAACAATTAAGTACCTACAGCAGTGTTCGGGGACTTTCGAAGCTTGATCGCTTCACGGGGCGGCGCCTGCAGTAGGTAGCGCGGCGGAGGTCGAACAAACAGCTGCTTTCGGAAAGCCAACATTGGACCTTCACCCCGTTGCCAATGGTTGGAATGTCATGTTTTGCAAGGCCCTTGTGCGATTGGTTGGAGTGGCAAAGGCGGTCGAACCTCGTGCGAGAGGTAGAGGGTGGCATCCGACTGGAACGCGAATGCATGCATAAGCACATTGCGGGTGCGAGTACGCCATTCGAGTACTTCCTCGACGCTGGCATCTCGTCCCTGACTATCTTGTTGCGCTAATTTACCAGCGATACGTGTACCGTAGGTGACGCAAGATACCACACCCCCTGGACCGACGATGTTTTGTTTTTAGCTGGAGTCCTCCACGACGAAGAGCATGCGTTTGTTGAACGAGACGTTCTCGGAAAGTTCTCAGCTAGATGGTTCCCACATCGACATTTTCGGCACCGCCACTCTCTGCCCTGTTGTGTGGAGCAAGCGACCTTTGGGAATTGGTCAACGGGGTGTGGTATCTCACGTCACCCACGGTGCTGCTGGTGCATGCGGCCAATGCAGTAGGCCATTCTTCTCCCAAAAAGCTAACTAAGCTCAAACAAGCGCAAGGCAGCAGCAGTACATCCACTACATTCCCCTTCCCTATAATAGTGCATATGCAGTCCGCCTAAGCTGTAGCTGATGGCAGTGCGCGACTGCAGGAAAACAAGAGTGCACTCGGTCAATAGGAGTCTAGACTACACAAACTCTCCAAGATTGTTCCGTGCAACACAGGGAGCAACGAGCAGCACCTTTCTTTCCTCCGTGCTTCAGGCGTATCTGCCCAATTAAGGAAGCGCAACCATCCTGCTGCCGGCCTTGCTGGTGTCTCTGCGGTGGTCGAGAGAAAGGAGGATGCCGGTGCTTGGGGTGATTTGCCATCACCCCCGCTGCTGCTGCTGCATGTTGGTGAAGACTAGCCGCTGATTCCACCATCGGTATCCACTTTCTCGGCGCGCTAAGGGTGGCAGTCTTGCGCACCCTGGCAAGGTGGCGACAAGCAAGAACTCTGAATGACATCCTGAGAGAGGCCACACCACGCTTCGACCGTGCTGCTGTGTGTTGCCAGGTAATGCGGCAGAAATATGTACAACATGCATGAGTCTTGAGGGAGCGGGACAGGGGGTTCGCGACTATAACATGCCGTATTTACGACTTCCTATTCGCGGACCCCCCGTATCAGACACAAGGTCGAAGGCTCGAATGTACCAGCAGCCAGTGGTGCGCGAGCGTGTGGATCATCTACGAGGGCACAAGATCTGACGGTTCCTGAACCGCGACGTCGGTTCAGAAAGGTACGGAAGGCTTCCCCCACGTCAACAGTAGAACAAGATGAAGTCGGACGGATGGCGTATATCCCGCGTTTCATATATATGCAGCGCTGAGGACGACACCTGTCTGAGATGTCGCGCGTATTGGATACCGAGGACTCAGTGCTCTGGTGTGGCTGGGGGGCTCTAATCTCGGACACACGGCGTGCGGCAGGCCGGAAATGTATAGCAGATGTGGAATTTTGCAATTGAATCTTGAAGAATGAGACGCGCGTGGACCTCCTCCACAGTCGCAACCTCTGTCTTGTAGTACGTGATGAATTCTCGTGTTTTTGTTCCTGTTCCTGTCGCCCTGTCATGCGGCGAGAGCAGGGTTTACGTAGCAGTTAGGAATGCAGAGGCTTCCTGTACCGCAAGGCCACACTCGACGGACGTGTCAGTAGTCGAGGGTGCATATCACCTCCAAAAACGCCTGCTTTTCATGCACAACGGCCAGTAGCCCTCTCGATGACTTCCGCCAATCGAGAGGATCGCAACCGCAGCCAATTTGAACTTCGACAGCAAATACGCTTGTACTTCTAAAAGAGAGTTACCAAACTGTCTTGTTAAGCCTGTTACCCACAGCGGAGATATCGCTGTCTGCTGCTCGGGAAGCCGTGGAACAACAGGTAACTTTCTCTGACGCTATGAATTCATTTCTTATCTACAGTATCTTAGACTCTTCTCTTTGAGATGGAGTCGTTGGGTTATGTTCAGAAAAAAAAAAAACCACCTACCCACAGAGCCGGTGTGTCTACACTCTTTGCAGAAAGAGATGAGGACGAACATACACAACACCGTGCGCGGACGCCTGCGGCCTCGGGGTAGAGTCAGAAAATACTTACTTCACGTGTGGCCGACTTGGTGTACACGTACGTCCGAAGGCGTCACTGCTGTACTGTAGCCATAGGCGTTGTCGGCTACACCCCCCGCGATATGCTACCAACCCTTACTTTTCCTCGTGTGACATACGCAGTATCCACAAGCACGAAGGGCATGCTACAAAGGGGCAGTGTACGTTGCTTAGTTGGCCGACTTGCGTTTCGCGGCAGAAATCCCCCCATATGTCAGGTCCATGCGAGTCTGTCAGAAGGCGTACCGCGCTTTGTTGTCCAATGGTAGAGAGATTAACGACGACGACAGGGGAGAAGAGCGACCGGCATCATCAATTGTTGAAGGATCGATCAGTATACGCGAATGCATACCACCACGCAAACCTTGATCTTGGATGCCGCTGGGAATACAAAGTTATCAGCGGTCTGCATAACGCCGGTGGCAGAGATGGTCACTAGATTACATAGTCTCTGGGGGTAATATCAGGCGTCCACAGCAATACCAGTACTGCTGTACATGAGCATTTCCATCATCACAAGTGCAGCACAACAGTGACAAAAACTGACAAAACTTAGTCGTTGCTGGGCTGGGGCATTCAATTAGGGGGTTGTTTAAATTTACTTAGGCGTGTGAGCGTCTAGCAGCAGCACCAGTAGTATCATGCGAGTAGGAATGATAACTCTTGTGCGACAGGTAGTAGTGGATGTGAGTTTTGGGCCCCTGCCCCAAGCTCTAGCGCTACTAGGCCTTTTGTATCGGAAGGGTTTGCAAGGAAAAGAGTGGGGAATCAACAACAGCTGCCGTAATCGCACTGATCCCTCATTTTTGCTTGGGGAGAGAGTAGGTGGCGTGTTGTGCTTGTCCCTATCTGGTAGACAAGGAGAAGGAATCACCGGTTGCGGCTTTCTTCGAGGCTGCCGCTGGCAGCACCGACAGCAAGTACATTGCTACCGGAAGTTCATACCCAGTGGGTGGGACATGGAAAACATTTCTGCTGGAGAACGCCAAGTGTCGGCAAGATCGCGAGAAACATCAAATTAGCCTTACCCTCACTTTCTTGCGTGGGGCGGAGTTCGAGCACTCTTTTTGTGCAGATATTGGTGCGGAACGCTGCATTGATGGTCGGCCATTTTTGTCGAGGGTCTTGAATGGTTGACCTCCGCCTTCTTCTACAACGTGTCCTTTTTTTATAGTACCGAAACTATAGCTGTATATGCGTGTTGTAGCTGTGAGCAACCGGATGAATGTCTGTGGTTTTCACGCTCGTACCGATGTCGCTCTCTAACAGCAGCTGATTCGCACTCACGGACTACTGCTTGGTTTTTTATCAACTTGTGCGAAACTCTATACAACGTCCTTTGCCTGTTTCTTTGTTCGCCTCCCGCTGCCCACGAAGGTTTCAGGCCTATCTCGGTCTCGTCATCTAAACACGCCGGGAGAAAGGAGTTCCAAACGAGAGGGGGTTTCTAGCCTTAGGCGGAGCTGAGCAGAATGGACATTGGTGACGGCTTGAGCGGAGAGGGAGAGATGCCACCGGAGAACCCGGCCGGGGGCGGCGGGACGGGGGCCGGGCTCAACGAGGGTGAAGAAGCAAACAGCAACGGCGTTGAAGAACGGGTTGGGTCCGCGTCGGACCTTGGTGGTCCCGTGGCCGCGCCAACCCTCGCCGTCGGCAGCGGCGCCGTCGCCGCCGCCGTTGCGGCCGCCGCCGCCGCCGGGTTCGTAAAGGTGCCGGCGCCCGCGGCAACAACAACGCCGACGACGAGAAGGAAGTCGAGGACGGTGGCGCTGACGCCGGCTAGTAGTAGCACTAGCACTAGCGCTACCATCACGCCGCCGCCGCCGACGGTGACGCCAAAGCGAAAGGCAGCAGCAGCGGCGGGGACGGCAAGCCCGAGCAAGAAGAAGCAGCCGACGCCGAGGAAGGCAACGCCGAAGAAGTCGAAAGCCGCCGCCGCCGCCGGTGCCGCTGCGACCCCGAGGCCGAGAACGGCGGAGTCGGAGGGCAGGCGCCCTAAGCGCGCGAGCGCGGCGGCGGCAGAGGCCGCCGGTTGGAAAATCCGGGAAGAGTCTTCGTCTTCGTCGTCTGCCGAGGAAGAGGAGGAGCAGATCGAAGACTCGCCGCCGGCGTCGCCGAGGAGGCGACGTAGGGGTGCTTCTACGGCCGGGAGGACAACGGGGAGGGTCGGGGCGGGGGCGGCGGGGAGGGCGGCGGCGGAAGCGGCGGCGGCTATAGCGGCGGCG